TATTATTATAACTTTTATAATTATTATTATTATTATTATTATTATTATTATTATTATTATTATCTAAGAAATTAGCTCCACTTCATCAAGAAAAACACAAAGAGCAAAGACAAAAACAACGAACCCCAAAGACATCCAAATGTCTCTGACTTCAAGGTCAGCTTCAAGCCCATGATCTCGATCCCCGGCAAAGTATGTGAAGTAAAGCCGGTCTAACGGAAGCTTGTACCTGTCTGTCAACAGATGATGCGCCATCTTGCATGCCTCTACCTGTCAACATTAGAACAAAAACATCCTTCTTGCAGAAAGAATACTTAATAAGACTTATTTAGACACACACTTTTACTCTCACTTACTCCTTTTCTCCTTAGCTATCTAAAATGCATTAAAAGGCGTTCAAACTATCAAGAAACAATCACACACTTACACAAACACACACACACACACACGCATACATTCATCCAAACAAATATCGAGTACATATAAATTGGAACCCTAATCACTTGACAAAATCAATTTTATCACACACACAAAATTACATCCACGCAAACATGCAAGCACACACATAAAGAACCAAGTTTTGCAGCAAAATCTTACCTTAAAGTAGTCACCAAAAGACCAGTTACCGAGCATCTCAAAGAACGTATGGTGAGTAAGGTCGTTCCCGACATCTTCAAGGTCATTGTGCTTCCCTCCAACTCTGATACACTTTTGACTGTTTACAGCACGCGTCACTGGAGGTGACCATCGAGACGGCTCTATTTCTCCCAGGAACAGCGGCTTGAACTGTAGACAGCAACAGGAGTCAGACAATAGAACAAAAATGTTATCGCGGTAGAAAAATGTTGTACTTGGAGGTAAACAAGAAAGCAAATTTTCATTCCAAAAAAGAAATAATCAAAATGAGAAGTTATACTTTTTACTCAGTTCTGTGCATTGAAATACATTTTTAAAGTTAAAATACACACGCGCACATACACACACACACATACACACAAGCACACACATACATATATACACACACATACACACACACACACACTTACTCTCAAACATAGGACAGTGTTCATTCTGTCCAGCCCCATGTTACTTCTACTCTTCCTCAAGAAACACTCATAGAAAAGTTTAACTTTTACACTACATATTAAAAATAACAATAATTCCTCTTTCTGTTCAAGTGCAAACATATCAGCCCAGCTTCCCTCTCCCCAAATCTTCTACTCTGCCTACTCTATGGATTTGTCTTGTCTAATTTACTACAGAGAAGACACATCTGGGGGGGAGTGTGAGACACTACCAGCCAACATTATAGATTATAACTTAAAGACTTAGTGAAATAGTTATGAATAAAACATCTCCCCCACCCCCTCGCCTCTTCCTGTAGCATGAGGATCACAGTGTGCTATCTCTAAAGACATTTTGTCTTACAGCAACCCCACCATGACCCCTATAGTGACCCTGGATGTTGCACATCAGGTCAAGCTGTTTGAAATGGGGGGGGGGGGGCTATACTTTACATTTACGGACTTAGCTATAATGTTCATTACTTGATTCATTCCAGCATTAGTGAAGTACGTCCCGGCTCCTTTCTTGGGCAGAACGGAAGAAGAGGGCACAAACTGGTGACCCTCATTTTGGAAAAACTCAATAAATGTCGACCTGACATCTTGAGACTGCCACGAGCTCGCCGCAACTGCAGGAATTTTCAGGCACCTAGCTCTGTGACGAGACGACATTGCAATATCAACTCTGAATCATGATACATGTAGAAAATGGTAAAACTGCACGCCTCGGTTGTGAAAAAAGTGCAGACATTTGACTTTATTGACATTAGATCCTAGATGTAGCCTACCAAACAACTGACCAGACAAAATTCTTGTACACACAGACCTGCCACTCAATGCAATCTCAAAATCAGGATCTCAGGGGGCAAAAATTGGAATTTGGTGACAAAAATTCAGGATCAGCGGAAATCACCAAGGTGACTGCCAAACTGACCTAAACATTTTCCACGGGTGTCCATAAATATACATGTACATGCCCTCTGCGTATATTTGTGTGTGTGTGTGTGTGTGTGTGTGTGTGGGTGTGTGTGTGTTTTATCATTGTTCTTTTTTAAACACTGAAGCATCACGTCAAGCACACCTAATCCACGAGTCCAACACCCCCCCCCCCCCCCCCAAAACAAAAAATCCCGAAAGACACTTCAACCAGTGTGCATATAAACGGACGGTCCCCGACACGCATGGAACTCACACGACGAAATCATGTCACGTGATGCGAATGAGCGATTGCATTGAAAGTTTTACTGGCGGGTCCATCTAACTGCCCGTTCCCACCAAACACTCAGACGAGCGACAACGGCCAGCCGACCAAATATACTAGTAATAACCTGAGAGAAGAAGACAGACAGTAAGTTTTCAGAAAATCTGGCACAACAGACTGGAACAAAAATTCAGGATACACATGATCGAAATCAGGAAAATCTGGAAAATCGGAATGTTTATATTTGGGGGAAAAAAATCGAGTCTGTACACAGGAATGATTGGTTGCAATTGCTTTCATCTAAAACTTTGGAAGATTTTGCTCTTGATGCAGTCTCTCATCACCCACACGAAGTGCCTGTACCCAAAACATAAAGTATAAAACTACAGTATTGACAGTACTCTCTGCATATATATTACATGAGTATAATGCACGCCATACAAAGGCACACTCAGCTCAAACTAATGCTTTCGCCATATATGACGGGTTATTTCATCATTTAGATGTGTACAAACGCACTGTCACTTTTTCTAAACGCACACTTCAATCCACGAAACACGCTGACAGGTAAAGCTTGACAAAGGGACATTTTTTGCTACAACCTAAACAGCTTGCATTTTTTTTATAAGACAAGCCTAGACCAGGTATTTAGTGAGACTGCCCCTCACACAGAACAAAGTACAAAGCGAGTGATGGACAGAATTGGTACACCCAATTTTCTACGGACACATTGTCTAAGACTAAGACTAGGCGAGCGATATGTTTGGGAGGTGGCCGAAATGTCTTTTGATTGGTCACTCAAAAAAAATTTTTTGAAAGAAGGTTTCTCACAGGTGTTTGGGTGAGTGGTAGGTCCGATGTTTAGTTTAGTTAGGCCTATGATGCACAACACGCGTGAAAGAACACTAAGCTAGGTGTATAAGATTAAAGATTAGTCAAGTGATCAACTTTTATAATGTAGGCCTACTTGTTCAAAAGTCTTTCAGAATGTCTGATGTCATCTATCAATTTATGGAGCTACAATAGACGACAGGCAGTCGAGAGTGGTCGCTTGGAAAGTCGCTCAGAAATCCGCAAGGCAGAGTGCTTTTCCCTACATATATATAGATCGAAGTGGCTAGCCGTACTTAAGTACGGCTAGACTGAGAGTTTAGCCGTACTTAAGTACGGCTAGACTGCCAGTCTAGCCGTACTTAGATCTAGGTTAGGCCCAATTGACTCAATCCTGTTAAGTAAACAGGTCTCATTAGATCTAGATCTAGTAATTATTCAGGTTCAAATACATGCAAGTCAGTAAGGCACCTTTTGGTTTTGTCTGAAATACAAATACTTTAGGCATTGCAAACTAAAATTTTCATTTACAATTCAGCCATCAATATTAAGTACGGCTAGACTGACAGTCTAGCCGTCCTTAAGTACGGCTAGCCTGGCTGTCTACCCGTACTTAAGTACGGCTAGACAAGAAGTCTAGCCGTACTTAAGTACGGCTAGACTGCCATTACTGCCAGTCTAGACGTACTTATCTTAGGCCCTATTTACATTAGAAAACAGGAGGTTTAAAATACATGCACTGTCATTAAGGAACCTGGTTTTGTCTCAAATACAAATACTTTAGGTACTGCACACTAAAAATGTATATTTACAATTCAGTAGGCCTATTTTTTGTAAATGGTCTGTCTAGCCATCATATTAAGAATAAGTACGGCTAGACTATAAGTCTAGCCGTACTTATAGAATATAACTATCACCAACAGTTCCTCTCACGATGATCTATTCCCGACATGATAGATCTAGAATCTAGTATTCACAGTGAGTAGTGAGTCGGTCTTTCTACTTTTTCCCTACTCACCACTCATTCAATGCCTTTGCATTCATAATTCATAATTCATAGATCTAACTGAAATCAGGGAATCCTTCACAAAACTATTAACCTTTGCCTTTTGCACAGGTTAATGTAAACACACACTCTGCATAAACACATACATCTAGATCTACTAAAGAGCCTTGCCGTGCACCTTGCGTTTAGGTGGAGACTACTACTGCGTGTAATCAGATAGATACAGTCAATGCCAAGTCAATGGAAGAAGAATGGATCACCGAAAAATGAATGATGAAAATGAAAGTGAAAGTGAAGTGCACTAGATCTAGATATATAGACTGATATCTATTGGTGTAAAAACAAGACAAGTGCAATATTAGAACTCACGCTAAAAGAGGACGATAGTGGAACAAACTGAGAAGTGACATCTGTCTTCAAAGTTTAAGTTTACAGCTTTGTTGTGTAGTTAGTTCATGATGTTACGATCTCAAAACAAGGTCGAGTTTCTCTGGGCGCAGACATCTTTCTCCTTGGTTTTCATTAGAGTAGTTTCCCTTGAAAGTAGCGAGATCTATTTTTTGGGGAAGTGTCTACGTACTCCCCGATTGGGGTCTACGTAGTTAAGGTGTCTAGTTGGACCCAAGGAGATTAAAAGTAATGGAGGATGCCCTGTGGGCGGCACCGCACGCCTGATAGGAGCCCTCTCTCGCGGCTGAACCGTGGGCTACCGTGGGCGATTGCCCAACAAAGGCACTGAAA